GTAATGGTATAAATAATACAATTGACACTGTTTCATATTTATTATTGAGTAAGTGATAGCATATGGACAAAAGTGTGCCATTTTACCACATAAGTAACTAATTCAGTCATTAAATAATACAATTTAAATAGAAAAATATAACTTTATACTGTTGTCTATCATTTACAGAAAATAAACCAAAAAAATCTAGCAACCAACTAACCTAAAAGTTAAAGAACATATTCTGTGGATAAAGTCTCTGATAAAAAGAATAAAAACATAAAAATGCTAATATGAGTTGCAAAATTGCTAGGTCCAGATCTCTGCAATTGTTTTCTTCCTAAATCATGAATTCTCTATGGGTTTTACTTTGAAATAGGTATTTCTGCTATAAAGTCTGATAAATGATATTCCTACTCTAAAGAGCAAGCAACTGGAATGCCACATTTTTGATGCATATTTTTGCAGCACAGAGGGGATTAAATTCTAAATGTCTCCTCTGTTAAAGGCCCCTTCAGACTTGCCCAAAAGAAGGAGAAAATTTTCCATAAAGCAATTCATCAGATCTATTTGGGCATGGTGACATTCTCTCAGAACTCACGTGGATGAGTTGTGCTGAATGTTCATGTGTTTGCAGCTGCTTGGGATATTTGAGAAAAAGTTATCTTTCGGTTCTTATCATGTGTTCCCATGGGCTAGCCTGTGCTCATCACTGGCTCATGTCCTCCAAGGACTTCACAGTTAGTGCTCATATTATAGTGACATCTTCCATTTTTGGGTGTTCACTGGGTTCCCTGACCTGTGCTTTGCTTTTTCCACCTATTATATCATTTAGTGTTCACTGTGTGAGCTTAGGGGAACGACTTATTAAATGTATATCTGTTTTCTACAGTGTGAAAAGTCTGTTGAACTGAATCTTATGCATTATTAACTTGACAAGTACTTACTGTTGCCTTCTCTTGCCTAATTGTTGGTTGTTGAATCTGGAGAATGCTCTGAATACTTCAATAAAGGCAGCAGTGATCAACTTCATAAACAAATCATTAGATGTAAAACACACGTGTAAACAAGTAGAGTCATTTGCTGACTGTTGATGGACTCAAAACAGTTAAAAGAAGAAGCAACTGATAGGATAAACTAAAATCAAACAACTGGAAACAAGTTGTGGTATGTTAACTGGCAATTGTAATAAGATAAAGTGATGGATACGTTTTCACTTGATTGGAAAGTGAAGAATACTTTAGAGTTATAAAACAGCACTTTATGCATTTATCTTTTCATTATCCTAATGTACAGGAAGTGGGACAAGTAAATGCATCTGACTTAATGCATTTGGTTTATTATTTTTTGTTATGATTTGAACCTTGTCCACTTCCCAGCATATCTCCTACTACATATCAAATGTATTCTTCTTATTGAATAATTTGCATGTTTCTGACCAAATTCAGGCCTTTAAAAAACTTCTGTGCCTTTGTCTAAACCGTTCCCTCTGCCTGGAATGCCCTTCTCATCTCCACTTGTCTAACTTCTCCTCATTCTTCAGGACTCCATTTGAACATCACCTCTTCAGACAAGCATTCTTTAAGTTGTTTCATGCATGGCTCCCCCCTCTTCCTCTGGGGTACCACACCACCCTGTGCATACCCCATTTAATATATGATATTCGAATTTTCTGTTCACTTGCCAGGTGCACTAAGTTGTGACTCTTTGCAAGCGTGGCCTGTCCCTCTTCTGTAGTTTTATTTTTGTTTTTCAGCACCTCGCCAAGTCTAAACAGAATGTGGACTCAATGTGCAGTTGTGACTTGGAGTAAATATATTCACATATATCATGGATGCACATCTCTGGTGGCTCGGCAGTAAAGAATCCTTCTGCCAGTGCCTGTCAATGAGGAGACATAGATTCAATCCCTGGCCCAGCAAGATCCCCTGGAGAAGGAAATGGCAACCCACTCTAGTATTTTTCCTGGGAAATCCCATGGACAGAGGAGAGAGGAGGCTACAGTCCATGGGGTCGCAAAGAGTTGTACACGACTTAGCAACTAAATGAGAACAACATATCCTGTTGGTATTTGTAACTTCCCCAACTCCTATGTCCCTATATAGACACACATACATAACCTCACTGCATTCTGGTGTGTGGAAACTTTGAGTAGCCTCATTGTGGTTTTGTTTTAGCTGTTGAACTCAAGGTCATGATCTGGCGGAAGAGACTACTAGAAGCCTGCACTCCACATTAAGGCCTGTTGTCCTTGAGTCCAGAATATGCTTGTAGACCTTTTCTAGTGAACCATCAGGGTGTTTCATATTAGCACTATGGGAATGAGCTTATGTTAAACAAGAATATGGAAATATGAAGGAAGGCAAAGAATGAGGGTCAGACAACGCGACAGAATCGAGGCTGGAAGCCGGAGCCGTGAAGGAAGCCTATCTGCCCCCTGTAGACTGTGATGTAGGCCCAGCGCAGAGGAGTTAGTGTCTGCTCTCATGCCTCATTTGTCCCCTTCATCCTCTCTCTGCTCATTACTTGGTTCCCTTTGATAGAACATGGGAGGCAGACATGGATTGCTAGGTAGCAGGCTTTTACAACTATGATTTCATTCCATTTTGAAGTTTCTCTCAAAATGGCTGATTTATTTTCCTCTCATGGGTGCATTATGTATGTGTTGTTTTGTGAGATCAGTGAATTCAGACAGGCCCTCCACGCTTTTGTCCTCCAACCCCAGCCATGCAGTGCAATGCGGCAGCTCAGAGACGCAGAGAGCCACGCTGGGCTCTGGAAGAGACAAAGGCACAAATCCCACCTGGTTTCCTTCAAAACAAGCTACTGGTTTGCAACAAACTACTGGATGGTGATAAAAAAGGTTCTTACCTGTTTACTTAATGGGTGGCTGGCCCCTTGCTTTTATTTAGCCATCTGTTCTGGTCTATGTCCCTTTAAACTTGTAAGATCCATCACCTCATTTAAGCTGTTACCTTGACACATTGCAATGTTGTGGACATAATGATCCCACAAAGGAACAAATTAAAACAGTTTTTCATGATTAGAAGGTTAAATGAGGTAAGGCTGTGGTAGTAAGTGGTGAGATAAGGGGTTTTGAGGAAGCAGAACTCAAGGGACTTTCAGGTGATTGGAAAATTAGGCTGGCTAGACAGAGGGATGGATGGGGCTTTTACAAATTCTGGGAGCTGGGCAAGAGAGAAGTCTTCCTTTGGGTGTCTGACTTTGAGGCCTTATTCTGTTGCCCTTTCAGAGACTGTGACCATGGGCCCAGGGAGGATTCAGGGGCCAGCCTTGGGCTTCTTTTCTTTTTTGGGACATTCTGTGAGGAGTAAAAGGAAGCTGACTCTACCAGAAAGTGGCAAGCTAAAAACACAACAGCACCACCAACAAGCATTCAGTCTTTCCCAGAAAGTTATTTGGTTTCCCTTAAGTTTGAAGAAGAGTCAAGGGCAAAGCCCTTTCTTTAGGAAGGAATATTTCATTGTGTTTTCACCCTGGAGAGAAGGCAGTGTTGTTCCTAACATCTGTCCTCAGCTCTCTTCTTTCTTCTTACCCTAGACTTGATTTTCTGTCCGACCCCTTGATGACCCATTTGTCCTTGAGAACTAGGCCTTAGAAAGTCAAGCTCTTTGTCCACTTACTCTCTTAAATCATTTCCTGCCCTGACCACCCTGGCTTCTCCTGATACGATTAGTGTTATTGCAGCTACCTGAACTCAACATCTCAGGCATCTCTGGATTTTCTGTCTGGCACTTCCGTTCAGTCAGAAGCCAAGGTTTCTGTCTTCCACCTAAATTGAGTTGCTCATGTCTTTTCTCAACTTTTTACTCCCCCCTGCCACTGTTCTCATTTCCATCCCTCATTACTTCTGTCCTAGACAATTGGAATATCTTCTAACTAGTTCCTGCCTATGTTTGGTTTCACTCTGCTCCAAAGTGCCTCAAACACTGGTGACTGATTATAACATAACAGTCACATTTCAAAAATTAAATAATTAAACAAAAAATCTCCTTCAGTTTTCCATCATCCAACAAACTCAGTAGAGACTTCTCAGCTTGGTATCTGAGACAGTCTATAAAGTTATCATCTTTATTTTCAGCTTTTTCTTTTTCTCTGTGTCACAGTAAGACAAAATGCTATGTGGCTATGAATAACCTCATGTTTTCTTGCCTCCTTTCTCTGTTCCCTCTTCCTAGAAAGCTCTGCTCACACATGTCTAGTGAAAAATGCATGCATTTTATCAAGTTCAAGCACAAATACAGCTCTCCTTTCCCCATGGCAGTCTGATGCAGTTGCTCCTACTCTGGTTTGATGACAAACCCATTTAGGTGATGTTCTTATGCTGCTTGATGTGGTTTTTTCCCTACTGTTAGCTTTTTTGAATCTTACTTTTGCATATCCTATAGCACAAAGTTTCTTGCCTATAAACGGTGCTAGATAAAGATACAGAATAATGCTTTATAATGAGACTGGGTCTACCAGAATGTGCAAAATCCATTTATTCATTCACACAGATGTTTGTGGGTGCTTACAGTATGTACTGTGTTAAAGACCTAGGATACAGGGCAATATGGCATAGTGCAGCTCAGTTCTCCAGAAACTCAAAATTACATGAAAGAAAAGTCATGTAAGGAATTAAGCCATGAAAAATGCACAACAGGAGAAGGGCCTTCAAAGTATTGGAGTGGTGGGACTTCTTACCTCTATCAGAGTAGATAGGTTGGGGGTGAGGTGACAATACTGGGGAGGAAAATGAACAGATAGGAAAGGCTTCCTATAGACGGGAAAGTCTGACTCGGGTTTTGAAAGCTGCATAGGAGTCACCGAGGATGATAGGAAGGTAAGGCGAGATAGGAATGAGATGGAAATATAATCCATACTCAGTTTGTTTTCAGAGGCTCAGGGCATTAGGGCAATCTGGGCACCAAATAATTGTTTTCTGTCTCCAAGTGAAACATTCTTTTTCTGAGACTGTTTTTGATTGAAAGTCATTCATTCTTTTTTTTAATGTTTTGTAGAGAAAGTCTGTGATTGCAGTGAGCTTCATAGCAGCATTCCTGTTCCTGCTGGTGGTGCGCCTTGTAAATGAAGTGAATTTCCCATTGCTACTAAACTGCTTTGGACAACCTGGTGCGAAATGGATACCATTCTCCTATACATACAGGCGGCCCCTTCGAACTCACTATGGATACATAAATGTGAGGACGCAAGAGGTAAGACCTCAAAGGGTCACGTAGGGTTTGAGGGTGTCCGTGGTAACAAGTTTTCTTTGGGCACGAGGTGGCTTCCCATCACTGAACTTCCTCTGTGGCCCAGTGAGCTTCTTTGGGTCCCTGACATTTCCTGTTTTTTCATTCTTAGACACTTTCTGACACATGTCTAAAGTCTGCTGCCCCCTCCTGCATCAGATCTTCTGATTCACTGGCTTCATGTGGAGTTGAGGAAGCAATTACTTGTTTTCCTGGTGGTTTGTGGCATAACATACATATCTTTCCATTTAGAAACTCTGATCAGCAGTCACCAGCTGGAGAAATGGCTGGCTTTATTTCCTGGAGGTCAGCTGGTTGGGGACAGCTCTTTGTAGAACTGCAAAGAGGCATTTATACTCTTTAAAACTCTGTAATCCTTAGACCTGGAGCTAGAAAAGGCCAAGCTGATTTAAAAATTCTCAGTGGCTGCAGAGATAATGGGATTTAAAGAGTTTCCAAATTTAAAGGGGTTAAAATCATTCAAATCCTATAATCACTGAACCTCTAAATCTTTGTAGCCCATTGGTGGTACAGAAGAGGATGGGGGTATATTGACAAGTAGAAAGTGCACACTGTGCTAGCATTTTTGCAAGCAAGGATTTGTGTCATGGAGTGAAGTAAAAATAAAAAGCCTCACAAAATGTATGCAGTGTACAGAACTGATTAATTTAATTGTTTTCACTATTTGTTTCCATGGAGTGGGATGTATGAGGTTAATAGTCATCACTGCCAAGTCCAAGCCTTTGGAATTTGTTGGTGACAAAGGTACAAATCACGAGTGTGTCTACATCACTGGAAAGAATTTTGGATCAGATCCCACTGAAAGGTCATTTTTGCAAAAATACTAGAGAAGAGAATTACCCACAGAATGCAACTCCCATCCCAAGAATTATTCATAGCGTCAGTGAGGGATGTTGAAAACTGGCTTTGTCCATCCCCTTTTATAGGCAATATCATGCCTGAGTCATTGCTTCTGGTTAATTTGATTCTTTGAAAATTGTTTCTATATATGCATGATTTATAGGCTTTTATTAGACTTTATAGTTAAAAAGAAAAAGGCACCATTAATAACATATAAATTCTTAGGAGCCTTGCTTGATGTTTATCCTTTAATTGGCTTTGAATTAATTCTTTTAAAGTGTCTATTGCTTGAATTTGTTGAATGTCCTAATAAATTGATTACTTATATAAAAACGTATCTCTTAGAGAATAGTTTGTTTCACTTTTGTCTTTTGTTACTTTATTTCAGACTGTCATTTAATATTCTATAACTCTACTGGATTGTGTTAATCATTTCCCAAGTGCCTCTCATGGGTAGAAAATGAAACATGTGACTGAACTGTCTCACAAATTACTCTCATGAGAGAAATCTCACCAAATATCAAAGAACCTTTCATTTGTTTATGTAATAATGGATTGGATTTTGGAGTGTTAAGAACAAAATTGACCTAGGGCTGCGATTATTTAATTACTCATATTAACTAGCCACTTTTGAAATTCTTTTGGTGTGATTTGTAATACAGTGACTTTGCTACAAGATATTGATCATTATTTTGATCCTGTGAAGGTAATTTCTTGAGAGGGAACATGATTACTGGAAAGAGTTTTTAACAGATGCACACAGGCATGATTTGAGTACTAGTTCTCACACTTAGAAAAACAAGATCAACTAGCAAGTTATGGAAATGGCAACCCAATCCAGTATTCTTGCCTGGAAAGTCTCATGGACAGAAGAGCCTGGCGGACTACAGTCCATGGGGTTGCAAGAGTCGGACACGACTTAGTGACTAAACTACCACAGCAAGTTATTATGAGGATTCAATAGGACAAAGTACATGAAATGCCCAGTTCTAAACTGATGTTCAATGAATGAGTTTCTTTTGCTTGCTTTGTACTTATCAGTTATGTCATGAAATGCCTAGTATGCACAGAACCAAAATACAAAATTTTAGAGTATGAAATTTAAAATTTTAAGGAATCTGGATTCAAGGCAGTAAATAAATGAAGGAGTGAGTTCCTAGTATCATTAGAAATCAAAGTTTTGCAAATTTAAAACCACAATGAGAAGGAAGAAAAAAGCACAAGGAGGTGAATGCTCACTAAAAACCAGATTGACCAAAAAAATCAAGAATCTGACAATACCAAGTGTTGGTGATGATGATGTGGACCAATAGGAACTCATAAACTAGTAGAGGGAATAATTACTTTGGTAAAAACAGCTTCCCATTTTCTAGTAAAGGTGAAGATCTGCATATTCTACATCCCAGCATTTCTAATCATCCATGCATTCAGTTGAGACATCCATGAACACATGTAGTGGGAGGCATAGATGACATGTATAGCAGTATTATTATAGAACCTGGACATGTCTCTTAGTAGGAAAATGGTTAAATGGTTAAATCAATGGAAATGAGGAAATTGCAACTATATGTGACAACATGTGGGCTTCCCAGCTGGCGCTAGTGGTTAAGAACCCGCCTGCCACCGCTGGAGACCTAAGAGATGAAAGTTCGATCCCTGGGTCGGGAAGGTTCCCTGGAGGAGGGCACGAGAATCCACTCCAGTATCCTTGCCCGGAGAATCCCGTGGACAGAGGAGCCTGGCAGGCTACAGTTCATAAAGTCGCAAAGAGTTGGACACAACTGAAGTGACTTAGCATGGGCACACATGACAACATGTATGGATCTTAGAAAAGCATAATTTTGAGCAAAAGATGCAAAAATAAAAGAACACAAACAGTGTGATTCAATTTATAGATCAGAGGAAAACTTAAAGCTAAGTGGTATTGTTTAGGGAAAGGTATAGGAGGTGTTCTTGCCTGGAGAATCCCAGGGATGGGGTCACACAGAATCAGACACGACTGAAGTGAAGTGACTTAGCATAGGAGGTAAAAACTGAAAAGGAAAAAAAAGCAAGGGAATTATTGATAAGTGAGAAGAGCAGTTACCTCTGAGAGAAACTTGTGGTTTGTGATTCATGTGAGTTTCTAAGATATCAGCAACATCCTATGTCTTGAATCAGCTGGAAGTTATATGTGGTTCACATTCTGAATATTTGTAAAATATGTCTTCATATTGTATGCACTGTATATCTATTTTATAAAAAAAAGTTAAAAGTACATTCTGAGCCAAAGTAGGGTATTAATTGATGAAGAATCACACAAAATATTTTATCTACTTTAACAGCAAGAAATAAAAGAAAGAAAGAAAAGCAATGGTGTATTAACCTATATAAAATAAACTAGAAATATTTGAAATAGGCACATTTCATTTTAAGCAAAAACTAGCAGATATACAGGTTACTTATTCCTCTAGCCTATGCAAGATAGAAAGGGAGGTCCCATGCTGAAACATTAGTGCAAGTAATAAGCAGAAAATTTTTCACAGAAGCTTAAAAACAACGTATAACACCCCAAAAGAATGACAGATTTTCCTCCGAACTCTGATAGTTGTAAGGCTAAATTGGGAGGAAGACAAAATTTGGTGGCTCTTTACCTCCATCCTTGTTATTTCATCTTTCTCAAAATTCTTCTCTTCCTACCACAAGTCTTCATTCTCTTACTCCCAAATGCTCTGTGCATGGGTCCTCACCGAATAATGGCTTTAAGTGCAGGCCTTTCCAGAGATAGTTGCATTAGACTATTAGACTCAGAAAGAAAAGTCTTCAGGGGTCTAAGTAATACAGCAAAAATGATAAGTGGTGGATTTTATGTTCTAGGGCAAATAGCTATAATAGTGGCCCTTGAATTTTGTTTTAAAGGTAACCACACACTCTATTCGAATCTGGAAAAAGAGTCAAGTGGTCACCAAGATGATCTATTTATTTCAAGATCTTGGTCCTTGAGGTTTTCTCAGAAGTTTCTCAGAAGAAAGCACATGCTTTCTAGACACCACCAGATGTCCAAGAATTTTTTGAACATGTTGACTTGCCAGCAATGATTTCCAGGCTCAGAGCAGCTGCAAGCATGACATTGTCAATGATGGTTTTATTGCCCAGTGTTTCAGTTGAATCAGACATTACTGCCACTAGCCTAAGCTTTTATGAGCAGAAATGTTTACAAGAAAGGATGTCTCTCCACTACTGTCTAAATAAAGATGCGGGATGGGAGTGGCAGAATTAGGTTGAAGATTTTTGACACCAGAGAGCTGAGTTGCTTGGGGGCAAGCTGTGATTATTTTGTTATCTTTAAAAGTGAGCTGAGTTCTGGTCCTTTAGGCTTGGCACAAGTGGAAGTATAAGCTGTCTCATGAATCTATGACAATTTGTCATGAAAAACTCTCATATAGTAAATTATACCCAGTTGAAGCTTGGCTTCATTTGATCAATTCACCTAGTTTTTGAACAATCTATTCCCCAAGGAAGTACAAGAAGTAAAAGTATAAAGAATACAAGAGAGAGAAATAGATGAACTTGCTTATATTTCATATGTTGTTGTTCAGTTGCTAAGTTGTGTCTGACTCTTTGTGACCCCGTGGACTGCAACATGCCAGCCTTCCCTGTCCTTCACTATCTCCCAGATTTTGCTCAAACTCCACTGAGTCAGTGATGTTATCCAACGATCACATTTCATATGGTTGGAGTATTTCCTTTTCCTGGTCCAGATCCATAAAAAAGGAACATGTAGTGAAAATTATGAGGGCCAGTCTAGAGGAGATAAATTGAAAGAATTAAAATACCCATCCCACCATAATAATGACAGTCTAAATATTGGCTCCCATCTTTTGCCCTGTCCCCCTTCCCTTTCTTAATATAGACTAAAGTTCTTATATTTGGGGAATGAGAAATCTTGAGAAGCAGGGTAACAAAATGAGTGTCAACTAACCTGGTGAGTGATGAAATTCAGGAAGCCCCTGCTGAGCAGAGAACCCAGAATTCCTCATCAATACTTGTTTGAGCTGACAGCCACCAAGAGGTAGTGCCATACTGAAGCTGAGACCAGGAAAGATTTAGATTTCATAATAGGT